ACGGTTATTTCAACACAAGCTATTTAAAGTCATGGAACAAATACGGATGCAATGATTTGTTACCCAGTGTTCATGTATGTGAAATAGTTGTCTTATAAGTGATTCTCGGCAAATCTTCAAAATATTTGTGGCTAGAGCTGATCACGTTCTCCTGGAGCAATCCTTCCTAGAAAAGCTATGCAACTGCTGTCTGAAGTGTGTGCAGACAACTGTAAGATCTCGAAATAAGTCAAACTCGTGATGCTGTTGTCATCACTGACATATGTCAGTAGTCCAACAATTGGCAGGTTGCCTGCTGGCTTCCATCTCTGGGTGGTAAGAAAACACCATGCGTCCTCCTTGACAAGAGTACTTACTAGGTTCATCAGTTCCAGGATGGACTCTTATAAGCCAGTCTTCCTGGGCTTATATCAGAGTTAACAGAGCATCTGCAGATGTTGATCCATGCTAAGCATGAGGATGAACCATAGAGGGTATAATATATTGATGCTGCCCAACCTGCCCTGGCTTTCCATCAACTTCAAGGTTCTGGCATTGTATTAAGAATCCCAGAACGGAATAGACTCTCAACATCTCAGAGACCTTTTTCCAGGATCCATGCGGTAAGCTCAATCAGAGCTAACTAGAGCCTAGATAGAAACTCGTAGGATTGGTGGTAGCTCCTTCTCTACTCTAGAACAGCGACTGAAAGGAAATCATGAAGAGTCCCATTTTGCCCTTTGCAGGCCTAGTCACCTCTTCACCATCATATTCTCCAAAGAACCTGAACTGGAAAAAAATAACAGCCGTGCAATTGTAGATAGCAACCCTAAATTACACCAGGACCAAGAGAGAGGGGTTGTCTTTCTGGACTGTCTTCACAATTGTATGTACTAAGATACTAAGGCTAGGTCTACACTACCCGCCTGAATCGGCGGGTAGAAATCGATCTCTCGGGGATCGAATTATCGCGTCTCGTCGGGACGCGACAATCGATCCCCAAATCGACGCTCTTACTCCACCAGCAGAGGTAGGAGGAAGCGCCGTCGACGGGGAGCCGCGGAGGTCGATTTTGCCACCGTCCTCACAGCGGGGTAAGTCGGCTCTGATACATCGAATTCAGCTACGCTATTCGCGTAGCTGAATTTGCGTATCTTAAATCGACCCCCCCCCCGTAGTGAAGACCTGCCCTAAGTGACCTGCCTTTTAAAATTCTAATAGTTAAATAGATGTTGGACATTGGGAAATGCTTCCTGTCTGATATAGTCACTATAACATCCAAAACGCTGAATATCAAATAATATTCACTAAATAGATGATTGGGGTATTCACACAGCTACTGGAATCTAAACACAGTTGAAGTTATTTTTAAAAATATCTTAAGCATCAGTGGAAGACTAGGACAAGCCCTTCCATTACCACTGGGGTGTATACTTTTTGACCGCTGTCAGGTCCCTTAGAGCCTGGTTTATTGAATCTGCGTTTTATACACACAAAGCATGTTGTATCAAAGATACATTACACTCCAGAGTGCAGTTCTCCCAGATTTCCTTAACGTCTCTTCTCTGCTGCAGATTCTCAGCACAGGATTTTCCTTTTGGCTGGATGATCAGAAAGCCCAGTCTCATTTCCGGAAGTTTATCTGCTGAGACTGTGCTTACTGATTGCCTAGCCAGAAGGAAAACCCTGTGCTGAAAATCTGCATGAGAAGAGAGAGGTTAAAGAAATCTGAGAGGACAGCAACTCTAGAACGTAATGCATCTTTTATACAGCATTCTACATGTACATTGAAATGATCACCCGAGGACTGCAGAAAGTTGCCAATGAACATTGAAGTTGCTCTCACATCACAAGCCCACCCTGATACTGACACTTTTTGATTATGCCCTATGGTAACTGATTTGTTTGAGGAGCACATACTAGTAATACATTAAAAATGGAATCATGTTTATAATGTGTACATCCAGTTAGCTGATACAGTTCTAAGCCCGAGCTGTGAACAGTCACCTAAATGCATGTTGTTTGCTTTTGGCATTGATGATTACAAAAAACACCCCTTAAAAAGAAATATTGAAGTATGAGGTATAACTTCAACAAAAGTATGTAGTTATTTATTGAAAAAAAGACTAAGTTCATTGCAATCAAGAGAAAGTAGGCCACACTTTTTCAAACTTGGGGGCATACAGTTATGCTCCTAAATAAATGGCCAGATTTTCAGAGGTACTGAATATACACAGTTCCCAGTGAGATCAGCACTCATCGCCTCTAGATACAGGGTACTTCTTTAGTTTCCCCGATATGGATTTAGATGTCTCATTTCAGGCACTTATCTTTGAACATTTTGGACCTACTTCCTAATAGGCCAGGCCCTTTTCTCAAATAATTGACTTGGGTGCCCATCTCCTTTTTCACTGAACATTTATAACCACCGTCTTTTGTATTTAACAGTCACTGTCCACAATAAGTAGCCATACACTAGCATCTGAGTAGGGTTGAGCCAAACACTAATTTGATTATTGATTACAATATGGATGGGGAGAGTTACTTTTAATAGAACTACCTCAGCATCCAGCATTTTTCTGATATTGCCATTGGGCCCAACCATCTATTTCATAGAAGGGGAAAACTCTGTGAGGTTCAAGACATCTACATGAACTGTCAACCCTCTGTGTTACTTTCAGGGTCCTATTTTTCCTGACAGGAGCCTCACTCAGGAGTCATTCTCCCATTTGCTCCTTCTGCCATTACCAATATCCTACCATCCCCCATTGGGAGGAAGGTAGAAGGCTTAGAGTAAAGGTTAATGCTGCTATGAGAATCATTAAGTTTGGTTGCCTTTAAGTAGTATTTCCTCTGAGTTTTGATAGGAATTCACTCTGTAAGAAGACTGCTTTTCATTTCTGCTTCCCTCATCCCTCTGGCAGGGATACCCACAGATCCCTACATGTGTGGTGTTTGTGAGGAGGCTGTTTGTGTGTGCTTCTGACTGTAGATAATTTCTTCACCCCTTAACCAAATCATTCAGGGGAAGATTTTTCTTACTGTTCACCAGTTGTCACAGTTTGCTCAGGGGTTGGCATGGGTAGGAGAGGGACAGCTCGAACCTTTGCAACATACAGCTGTTTTGAGGAGTAAAGTGAAGATGGACACAGAGCGACAGATGGGCTTCCACTGAGATGTATGGAAGCAGTTCACACTTTATGGGAAAACCACATCCCACTGCTCTGCAGCCATGGAGAGTTTAGCAGTAGGGCAGGATTTTATGAGTTTGTACCAGGAATGTGAAATCCCCATGAGCCATGGAGCCCAGGTGTGTGTGGGATCCCTGCAAATGGGGACACAGCAATGACTGAAAGTGAGAAAAGTGGTTCCACCACTACATGTTTCCACCAGCCATTGTTCCTCCATAGAAGCACAATCAACACCGAGGCTGCTACAGCCCTGAGGCTGTATAGGATCTATGGAGGAGCTCCACTCCTGCAAATTCACATGGGAATGAAGGATTCCTTCTCTTAACTCCAGCAAAACTCCCTAGCACACAGACCAGCAGCTTGGGCATTGCACTGAGGCCAGGATTTGAGTTGTAGATAGTTCACACTTAAGGCTGTAAAAAGAACAGGAGTACTTGTGCCACCTTAGAGACTAACAAATTTATTTGAGCATAAGCTTTTGTGGGCTACAGCCCACTTCATCAGATGCATAGAATGGAACATATAGTAAGGAGATAAATATATGTTCCATTCTATGCATCCGATGAAGTGGGCTGTAGCCCACGAAAGCTTATGCTCAAATAAATTTGTTAGTCTCTAAGGTGCCACAAGTACTCCTGTTCTTTTTGCGGATACAGACTAACACGGCTGCTACTCTGAAACTTCAGGCGGTGTGTGTGCAGATTCAGAAAGGCGTGTGTTGGTTTACATTCAACAGGTTACCTTTGCAACTATAATGGCTAGAAACTAATGAGTAGCCACCAACTCACCACAATAAACTTTCTTATTCCCCCATTGGCCAGTTGTTCAGTTTGCCAAACCCTATAACTTATTTATTTCATGTTAGCTTTTGCTGTCCTCTCTGCAATGTGAATTTGATTCTAACGTGGCTAAATTTAACTTCACGCCATTGTATTTGAATATTTATTATAGTGTGGAAAGTTAATGCAATGTGGCATTAATTAGCCTTTCTGCCTGTCTCGTTCTCTTTTTAGGTGTCATTCTCAGTTTAAAAAATTTGTTTCTGAAAATGAAGTAGAGGGCAGTCTTACTATATCTTGCAGCCAGAATGAATATAGTATCAAGAAAACAGTGTCAGATATATGAAATATCACTCTGAAGACATGGCAGTTTTCCTGTTTCTAAGAAATTCATAGTAAAATACCTATTGAGCAAAACAGAATGGTTTCTTCCAATAGTGATATAATTAGACTTATCATCAACCCCCGCAAAATTAACTTTCATGGTTTTCATATCAGAACTCATAAGATATATAGTAGAAATGTAAAGTTTATTCATCTTAAATCTAACTGCAATGTCATGAAGTCATCTTACAATAGCAATGTATCTGTTAGCAAACATTTGTTCTATATCAACTGTATAAAAATACCCCGCTATGTTTTGTGCTGTAACGTTTGGGCCAGATCCTTAGCCTGACATCCGTGGAGTTATGGTGGTTTGCACCAGCTGAGGATCTGGCCCATGAACTTCAGAATACCTAGATATATAATTATCACTGAATTTCTTCACACATACATACCCAGCAACACCTCCTGAGAACCAGTGTACAGTGCATATGGTAAAGTTTAATTGAGGCTCAGTATATGTGTGAAACTTCTCTGATGTAATGTTGAATTGCTTTTTCTTAAAAATTCCTTTGGGAAGCCATAATCATTCAACGCATGAAGGCAAGCAAACATTTCCTTAGCTGTTACCTTTGGGTTTTATCTCTAGATGCAATGCCGTTCACAAGCAGATGTTCTAAAAATGTCTTCAGACATCTCTGCTTATTTTTATTTTTATTGTCTTCAGGAAACAGAACCTCTCTACGCCCAGATCAACAGACCTAAGAAATAGCATTATTACAGGCTTGTGGTGCTTCAAGACTCCAGTGAAAATCTACAACCTGACAGGCCTTTTGGCTCTTATGCTTGTTTTTGATTGATCACGTCTGACAAAGGATAGAGGATTGCCCTACCAAACGTACCTGACAGTTTTTGGCAATGAATGGCAAATTTCTATGGCAGCACAAACATAAAAACGAGCCCTGCTTACCATGCCAAGCATCTGAGTTCTGAGCACCCACAGTACGAAATCTTACTCTTTGTTCTTCGTTTAAACTCTTCTTTACATCCCACCTGAACAATGGGCATTTGAAATTGAATAAGTATTAGCCATTGTTTTTCTTTTAAACAAAAAAAAAAGCAGAATCCATATGTAGCAGTGGCATCGTCATTCAACAGCCTTTCAGGCACAAGTCTGCACTTTTTATGTCACGGTGACATGTTTCTCATTGTCATGTATATCAGGCTACTCTTGACATTATATTCCCCTCCCTCACCTCACCTCACCTCCGTCTTGGCATATTTAAAAAAAAAAAAAAGACAGGCTGTGTTATTTTTTTGTATTTCTTATTCTGTTGTTTTGTATGGGTAACAGAAATTAACAGCAAAATGCCTCCTATGGAAATGATTCTTAACTTGAAACCGCAGAATAAAACTGTGTTGATTATCCATCCTGGTTGAAAAACATTGCCAAATGGACCTTTAAGTTATAGCGCATCATGAGGAAGAATTGCTGCTTTTCTGTTTGAATACTCATTCTGTGGGTGGAAAAAGGACATCAAATCCCATTGATGAAAGAGGTGAAAAATATGTTATTTCCTAGGAAACTCATAAAACAAAGTACAGTAAAGGAATATTTTTTATTTCTTCGCTATCTTGCTGCTGTAATGCTATGCAGACAAGTGTTTTCTTCTCTGTGTGCCATTTTTGAAGAAAAAAAAATCATTTGCCAAATAATTCTGGTATAATTCTGGTTTATGGATTTTAGACGAAACAGACTTTATAAATGGGACAATGATGGCATGAATTTTGGAATAACAAACTGATTCTGTGATCAAATTGTTCATCTTTATCACTTTTTGTACATCAGAAAATTCAAATGGGATTTTTATTTTATAACTTGAAAAAAATCTTACCATTAAACTCTTTAAATGTTTAAGGGGAAATGGCTTTAAGGAGTTCAAATGAAAATTGCCAGTTTTTTGTAAATATAAATGTTATGAAAATTCTTTTAATAATGCCATTACACTGTAGAGAAGGTAGCAAATTGCAGTGCTTGGGAGGCGTGGCAAACCCAATTTGTGGTTCTTGCATCACATATGTTTTTTCACATGCTTATTATAATAGGCAGAGGCTGAAGTGCACCTGCCAACAGCAATTAGCTTGTCAGCAACTAGTAAAATTGCTGGGAACACAAGATTTTATGATCTAGCTTTTTCCACACAAGTATACATTCTCCACATTAAAAAAAACAACCCACATTTCATAGACGTTTCTTTGATTCCGAAATCTCTAAATGGAAGTCATCAGACTGTTTACACACAGAACAGAAGAATTTAAAAACTCCTTTTTTTACATTTATGAAACAAAAGTGCAGTGTTTGGGTTCATATGTTAGCACATGATTTTCATAAAGAATCTATATATTTTTGCCCTACAGAGAATTGTTATACAGGTCAAATGTGTTTTCCTGATGTTCCTATGCAGTTACAGTATATTGAATTTAGTGGTTTAACACTAAAAAAAAAATATTAAAGAAATCAAACGATTAATCTGTTTTTAGGGTTATTGTGCAGATTTTGTTTTTAACTTGAAACATTAGGATTTATATTTCTGTCATTGATTTAAATAGGCCTGAAGTTGTAAATCTTTTACTTTCTTTCATCTCTATATAAGCTAAAAAGGGTTTAGAAGACAGCATATTTACTGTAAACATAGAAAGCTGAAAGATGAACTGGTGATTGTTGATATGTACACCCAAATCTCATGATTCCAGTCTGATATTTTGAATTAGGTAAACTAGAGAATTGTGAGTTACAGAAGATATATGAATGACATATTACATATGGCTAGACCTAATGACCATGCAGAGAAGAGATCCTCCGATCTGTCATTGTTTGCTTATTCCATAGGCATGTAGAGACACTTGTAGCAAAGTCATATTTTCACATCAGAAGAAAGGTGCAAACAGTTTTCTAACTGTAGGAGTTAAATCAAAACCAGATGGATTGTGTGTTTTGGGATTAAAATAAGGAAAAAAATATTTCCACAGGGCATTTCTTTTTTAAGGATATTTTCATAATTTTGATCTCAATACGTGGTGCTACTTTCTTCCTCAATATGACTTTTTTAGGTTTTGTCTTGCAGTATTGAACCATGAAGACACTAATTTTGATTCCTCATAAACATTCAAAGCGTTGCATAGTCAATACATTTTCAGTTATGCAGTAAAATGTTTAGAGAGAAGGAAATGCAGAGTCAAGTCTCAGTGGATCCATTGACATTACATATATAGAGCTCAGATCGGAAAAGTAGGTACAAACTAAATGAGGTTGGGATTTTAAGATCAGTTTTATTAGAGACCATAGTCCACATTGTCATTGGCCATTTTGTTTTTATTTGTAACCAATATTTTTTAAAAATACATCTATAGCTACCATATCATTATCACTAGACTGCCCTTCCTGGTCATAGTTGAGATGCTGATTTGCAGAGGACTGTGGGGAGTCTGCACTGTACCAGTATTGTAGATAAATAACAGCTCCAGCTTGTGCAATTGTTTAAACTCTCATCCTTCACTAGCACTAAATTTGTCACTTTAAATTTTAAAACCAGGGAATCTCACCCAACATCCTGTTACCATCCCCAGAAGTTTCTTGATCTTTACATGTCATGAAAAATATTTTGATAGATAGGTTTCATCAGACACTTGGATGACTACTATCATCTAATAATGTACTGGGCACCTTCTTTGCAAAAATGTTTACTCTGTGGTTTTCATTCATTTTTATTTCTGCATTCTGACATATTTTTTTAATAAAGATGAGAAAGATAAAATGACTGTTGCAGTATGTTTCTAGACCTACTTTAACTTTACCTCAGATGATGACCATTTGTTAACATATATGGACACATTATTTTTAACTTTATGTGTAATGCATTCAACAACAAAAACAACAAATTTTTAGAAATTTTCCATTAATTTCTGTAACACACCATGTAATACTGTTACAAATAAAAATGTTTAAAAAAATCATTGTCATTCAAGTTAATTTGTTCCATAGTCTCTGCCCGTTGCAGAAAGCTGCTCACAGAAAGGTGCCAAAGTTTCTCTTGAGTACAATTTGCCATGGACAAGCTTATCTAAGACTAGGGATTTTTTTGGGGATGCCCAACCTGAGCCACCTTAAGCGTACCTTGTACCCAGAAGTGTTGAGGACCTGCCCTCTGAAAATTAGTCCCCTTTTGGGGTTTCTTAAGGTAGACACCCAAAAACACTAGTCATTTTTGAAAATAGTGGCCCATATCTCACAACTAATCAAATATATGATCATATGAGGAAAACCATGGTGTATAAGACCATCTCAAGCAAAAGTTGGTTCATGATTAGAGAAGTTGTGAATCATCATCCTGCTGAAATTTCACCCTTCTGATAAATCATGTAATCATGACAACTCTTAGGCTAGGCAAAAGCCCTATAATGAAAGTAAAAGTTTGACTTTGTGGCCAACATTTTCAAAAGGAGGTGCCCAAAGGCACTTAAGCATGTGTGTAATTTTAAGCAATTGAGTAGCCTCATTTATTTCAGTGGAACTTTTCACATGCTTAAAGTTATATATACGTCCGGATGCCTTGTTGTATTGAGGCCCCAAATCAACCTGTGGAACTCCTTGCCAGGGGATGTTGTGAAGGCCAAGACTATAACAGGGTAACTAGATAAATTCATGGAGGATAGGTCCATCATTGGCTATTAGCCGGGATGGTGTCCCTAGCCCAGTGTTTCTCAAACTGGGGTCGCCGCTTGTGTAGGGAAAGCCCCTGG